TCAGTTCAGGTGGGCATCTTCCGACCAGAGGAGCGCACGGCTACTTTCTCGGGCTGCTGCTGCTTGCCTCCCTGTCCCTGCCCATGCATGTGCCCCCTCTTCGCCAAGGTGGGGGCTTCCTTGCCTTCTATGCTTCTACGCATGTACATGTAAACATCTACATATTTATTGGTAGACATATGTATATATATATATACACATGTATGCGCGTGTAATCAGAGTTAGAAGATACAGTTATGGACGGAAATGTAGCTACACACATAAACACGCATAGGTTTGTGTATGCATGTGCAAAAAGCATTAATCAAACAGATAGCTGAATAAAGAAATAATCTGGCACGCACCTGCCCTCGTCGCAAAGGTGGATGGGCAATGGGCAGAGCAATTTGGGAGCGCGACTGCGACTTCTTCGGCACCAGCACAACAAGAGATGGGCGGTTACCAGCCCATCAATCAGAAATGACGATTATCCGTCCCACGGTTCGGTTGCATAGTCCTCAGTAGTAGAAGGGCATCAGTAACTAGGCCTTCTGCTGGAATATTGTCATGTGGTTGTAAGAGGACTAAGCGGGCGATAGTTCACAAAGTCTTCAGCCTTGTACAGCATCCAGATTTCCACTTCCGCTGCAGCCTTGTACAGCATCCAGATTTCCATTTCCGCTGCGTGCGTGACTTGCACGACGGTCCTCCCGGTAGCTGCTGTGCGAAGAGCGATACTTGCAAAAAGCTTGGCCCTGTCTGGCTAGCACCAGAGTTTGCCACGGAAGCTTCCCTTTTGCCTCTCCTAATGCTGTATGAAAATGTAGTGCAAAACGGTACTTCAGCCATTGAGGCCCGCCCCCATAGGAGTCGCCTCCCTGAACCCGAAAACTGTGTAGGAGGTGATGGACAAGTTAATCGGAGCCGACATTTTGAGCAGCACTTTGTGCATATCTCTACAAGGCTAGCAGCTGTCTTGCTGGAGCACACCGCACTTGCAGTTGCAATGGCTGTCCTACACTACATAGATGTCCAAGACACCCTAGACCCTAAACTCTAAAGCATGAGCCTTGCACCAAATACTGTATACTATGTAATACTTCACTGACTATATGAAAAAGTGTTACATGAATATATTCTATGGTATGATACGATAGTAGAAAATAGTTCAACCTATTATGTAGTACAATACCATATGATGCTTGACATTAGAAAAATTTCTATTATCTATCTATCTATTTATCTATTTATCTATCTTAGCTTTTTATTCTGCATTATATTAGTGTGTTCTTATGTTGTTTTACCACCTCACCTCACACTGTAGATGTGAAGCCAATATCCCTGAAGCTCCTGAGCCCCGACCCACAGCAAGCTCGAAGCTGTAAAACTCTAAACCCTAACCAACCCCTAAACCCTGAACAACATTGAATTGAACTCTATTGTATTGTTTCGTAGTACGGTTTACGATATGTTGTTCTTTCCTGCTGCCTGTCTGTAGTCTATGCGCATACCTGCGTACATGTGTCTGTATGTGTGTCGACATATTTTATATGTGGATTCATGTGTGTGTGTGTGTGTATGTGTGTGTGTGTGTGCGCACACTTATTTCATATGTATATATATATATATATGTATATATTTATATACATATAGATAGATATAGATACGTATGTACATATATATATATATACAAATAAATATATGTGTATGTATACATATGTTTGTGAATATGTATGTACTGCATTAACGGGCGATGCAACCCCTGCCTTGCGCAGACTGTAGATGCTTTGGCTCCTGAGATTTACAAGAAGACCTGCCCGGAAGAGATGCGAGGGGTTTGGTGGCTAGAGGATAATATTGCACACGAGACCCTGGCGATCTTCAATGATGGTCGGTTGAGGAGTCATTTCGGGCATTTGGCGGTCAGAGTTTGCGGGTTCGCTAGCACAAACTGTTCAGGCGCGGGCTTCATGCGTGCCTTCTTATCGTCTACACCTTTGAGGTGTGGGGGCCCCCACGTCCCAAAACTAATCTGAATGTTTTTAGGGCGCTCCTCAGTGGACCCCGACATAAACCTGAAAGGGTGGTCAAAAAGGGCAGTAATTACGGCTCGAGCCGAAACTTGAGCCAAAATGGCTTGAGCCAAAATGGCTTGAGCGGTAGTAGTAGTAGTAGTAGTAGTAGTAGTAGTAGTTGTTGTTGTTGTTGTTGTAATTAGTAGTAGTAGGAGTAGTAGTAGGAGTAGTAGTAGTAGTAGTAGTAGTAGTAGTAGTAGTAGTAGTTGGGCTGGGAGGCTTCCGGGCACCTGAAATCGTTTGAGGTATCCATCTGGAACGGTATACAAAATGCTATTTCGAGCCGCTCGGACCTGCAATTCCAAGTGAACCCTCTCGACCGACACAGAGACACAGAGAGAGAGAGAATGTGTATGTGTAAACCCCAACACCACACGAAACCTTGCAAGCCTCCACAACGCCTCAACGCCTGTCCACGAGTAGAGCTTGAACCCGAAGCTTAGCGAGCACATCTGACACCCACAGCACAAGTGACGGTATCGCATTTGGGGCGGGCCTATCGATTGGAGATTATTTGACAATAGTATTGCTGAAGCTTCACACCGTCAGAGTAACCCCCCAGACAGGCTCTTTGTGCGAAGCATTGGCTGCCTTCGCCTGAAGCATTTTGCCTTTCAGCACATGTCTGCGGCACTGTAGTTGTAGCAGTCAAGCGAGTCATGCGGGACATCGACTGGGATGCCAAGTCCTACCCGGGGACCTACCAACCAGTGCAGTTGGACTCCTCGAAGTATGTGATTCCTTGCAGCTGCGTAGACTGGTGGAGCAAGCGATCATGCTTGTGCTGCGCATGCTTCCCCGTAGCACACTGCATTAACGGGCGATGCAACCCCTGCCTCGCGCAGACTGTAGATGCTTTGGATCCTGAGATTTACAAGAAGACCCTC